AGGCAGCGAAGAGAGTAGACAAGGCAAACAGAACGTTCATGGCAAGTGGCAAATTCAAAAATGAAGTCTGAACTAAAGATCAAAGCAGCCCGAACTCAGACAGTCATCGGTCAGGATTGTGAATGAGTCGATGATGGGTCATCTGAGTTGACTGTATATCAAACCCGGCCACCCATATACCGTGACTGAGGTGATTAATGGATGTGATGAATCCGAGTACTGTCGCACTCGGCTGAATGGTTATCGTATGCATGTACTATTGGACGTCATCTGCGTTTACTAGTACTGATATTCATGAGACAATTGTGTGTTAGATCATACTAGTACAGTATACTAGAATGGAGCATCGCAAGGCAGGTTTCCATCGTTCATGACACTTGGACATATTACTGCCATGTGCTTGGAACAACTGTATGCATCGACTCTTCAAGCTTATTTCGAAGTATGCACAGTACTACAGTAACGCTATTGCAAGCGCAGCGCAACCGCATGAAGTTATATTGTTGTAGTACTAGTACTATTAATACTAATACTTCAAAGTAATACTTACAGACCTGTGGAATTGGAAATGCCAACAATAGAAAACTCAGAAGGAGTGTCGAAGGTCATGGTTGAAAGTCTAGGAGTAGGGTTGCACAATGGACAACTTGTGGAGGAAGGTACAATCCAGTGCAAGATGCACTACCGGTACGTACTCCGGAGTAGCCAAGTGCATTCACATTGTGAAGAACCACTTTCAACCTACTTAACGTTACGGGTATGCAACCCCCCTCGACGCAAAACCAGTCGGTACAGTACATTTACAATTTTATTCACACATAACCGTTCTCTCAAACGCCAGACACATCGCATGCTAAACTAGTTTCCGCACCAGAACGCTCCCAAGCTTGCGTACGATTCACAGATCGTTTTGGTGTACGCAGGGGGGAAGCAGTAGTTCAGCGTAGGGTAGAAGCACGTAGAGCAACCATTGCACTTGGATGGCGAGGCAGTCGTAGGGGCGACAGTAGGGACTACCGTAGGAACTTTGGCAGTGGTGATAGGAGCCACGGTAGGGTTCGTGGTAATCGGGGCCGCAGTAGGGGTCTTGCTGGTAACAGGGGAGACAGTGGGGGCGGCAGAAGGCTTGGTGGTGATAGGGACAGCGGTGGGGGACGTGGTGATGAAGGGTTCAATAAAGTCGCGGGCGATGGAGATGCGACTATACACGCCAGGCTTGTCCTGCTGGGCACAGCCGATGCCCCAGCTGACCACACCCACCAACTTGACAGACCCGTTCGATTCGACCGTCAATGGTCCACCAGAGTCGCCTTGGCACGAATCTTCGCCCAACTTGCCGCCCGCACACAGCATGGCTTCGTTCACGGTGAATCCGGTCAACAGCTTTGCGCATTGGTCGTTGCTGATGGAATTCACGCCGACTTCCAGCAGCACTTCGGAAGAAGCTCCGCCCGAAGACGTACGGCCCCACCCGCGCACAATCGAAGGGGTGCCAGGCGCCACCGTGTCAAACGAGACCTGGACCGGAGGGAACTTGGACGGTT